GAATTTTTTTAAACCTTATATTTTGCCAAGACTATTAAACAAGAATTTCAAGTATTGAGTAGCGATGCATCTTTTTATAACAGCATAAATGTATTAATATCAATAATAGGCAAATAGCTGAAGAAAGTCTAGCATTGAGGTATGAACGGTTGAAATAATGCTGTTAATTTAAGGAAATGGAGTTTTAAATTTAAAACTATATTTATTTTATGGGTATAAGTATTTTGCCTGTGTATATGTATATGCATCACACATGTGTCAGGGACTTGCTGATGTCATAAACGTGCATTAGATTCCCTGGAGTTATGGAGGGCTACAAGGTTCCATGTAGGTTCTGGAAACCAAACCCAGGTCCTCTGAAAGAACATCATGTGCTCTTAATAACTCAGCCAACTCTTCTGCCTTGGTCTGACTGGTTTTTATGATTTATAGGACTATTTAAATTTTAAATCTTATCTATGAATTATACTAAAAATGTTTAAATAAATTGCCTTTTGAACAAGCGATTTGGAGTCAGATATTTACCTCAAGATTAAGTTCCAAATTGTATTTTATCTTGCCTATAATGTTAGCCTATCTCTGTTTTATGGTTCCTTAAAACACAAAATTCCTGAGTCAGAAATAATGGAATTTATTATTAGGGGAAAACAAACAACAAGAATACTTCCTCCCATCTCCACAAGTGTCTCTGGACTAATGCAATGTGTTTAGATGAATAAAAGTGTGCAGCCACTTATGCGACAACTCTGGAAGACAGAGTTGGAGAACACACTATTTTTAGAGCAAATTGCAAATAAGCCTTCTGTTTTGTCCAAGTGCACAATATAACCCAGTGTCAGAATGTTAGCAGAGTCTATAATCCTTAGACATGGTGCAGGTAAAATTCTGGTGCTGCTGTCAGTCTTGGTATGCTCAGCCATAGATGTAGGGAGAACCAGAGACCCAGTGAAGACTGACTACAACTTTCAGCCCTGATTTGGACTGTGCTGGCTACTAGCTGTGATTTGAGACAACTCTTTACTTAAAAAAAAAAAAGAAAGACACCTCATTTTCCTTCTATGTATGAAAACAATAACACCAAGTAAATCAAGCCACTAATAATGAATGTGAAACACTTAGCATGGTGTTAGGCCTGCCTGCAATCGGCACTAAAGCTTTCACTTGTATCTTTCAAAAGAGAAAGCAAAGCAAAGTCAACCGAAGGATGAACTGAAGTACATGAGAGCCAGTTAACATTAAATACTGGCTACTCTAATAGCACTCTAGCGGCTTTGCTGCTGGTACCACAGAAGCCTCATCCTTTTAAAATCAAATAACAAGAATGTTTTTTTTCAGCGTTATTGCACACAATTCAGTGATCACAATTTCAACCTTTATTTTAGCCAGCTAAAATTTCTATTGCTATGAACTTTAATTGTATAAACAATTAAAATTAACCTGAATAATAGATATTTATTTCTGAACACTGACCGATACCATTGGATGTAATCAAAAAAGTAACTTATGTTAACTGATGCTTCTTAAAATGTTGTCCGTTCATTGCAAAGTCTATTTATAGTGCTGAAAATATATATTTGGGAATGTAGCATGTATATAAGCAAACGTGTTTCTTTTTTAAGATTCATGATTGTTCATGTCAGCTTCCCACTAGGATCATCATTGATATGGTTATGATAGGTTGGTTAGATTTATGATTTTGTTAACCTTTTGGTCAGTTGACAAAAAAATCCTCCCATATTTAACTGATAGTAACTGTTTGCAATGTCTGTCCTGGTGTTCTTACACTTGTATATATTTTAAGTTATTCATTCCCTATGAAATCATTCATAATCACATACCAAACCACTCAATGAGGTAAAATCACTGAGAAAATTTCTTATGCTTTGCACGGTTCAGACAAACCTTTATAACCATTGTAAAAAAGACTATGTATATGTCTTACTTCACAGTTAAGGACTAATAGTGTGTGCACTTTATCATTTCTGTGTTATGGTAATATATAAAACTGAAATGACCTGATGCTTTTGAGTAGTGTTCTTAAAGGTTAAGACCTTGGAATCTAGGCTAGACACACCCTTACCAAGTTGCAAATTCTGCCTTGCCCATTTCTGTTACATAGTATCAGATTAGTTATGTTAATTCTTATGTTTTCTCACTTAAAAGAAGTGAATATTATTTACCTATCTTACCAGTTTTTGCTACATAGCAATGCATTATTATCTACAAGATATTTTCATCCCTTTCTAGTACAAACTAACTGCCATGAAGGTGTTAGTATGGTATTACAGAAAATCTCTCAAAGCTCCTTACATCATCTGACAAGAGGCATTGTCTTTATGTTACCAAATTACAAAATATTGGGAAATATTGTAATATGTATTTGAGCACAAAATGTTCTTATGTATAAAATTATATACCAGTAAGTAATAAATATACTTATTTTGAGTTAAAAGACTACTATGGGTTCAGAAAATATATTTAATTTCAAACAGAGATTGGGACAGACATCACTCTATAAGCAATACTACTTTAAAAATAGATAATAATTAAATTTTAATAAGGCCAATAGTTTTCAAAGACAAGTAAGCCTTTTGAAGATCACTGTTTCAGTAATCCAAGATTTCTTACAGGGCAGGAAGCAAGAAGTGCATATCCTGTTTACACGTCTTGTCTCAGAGAGAGGACTCAGTGTCCTCTTTAAACAAGTCATCATTCATGTCCAACACAGAATGAGTCAGTGCTTCTTTACTTAGTTTAGCTTTGATATTCTCAGAACACGGGTCGGGACATATCTTTAATTTGCATGTTGTGTTTTAATGAGCAAATTCAATCTTGTAGCCAGCAGACACTTGTTTGTCAATCAGTGTTTTGTTTAGTCAATATTTTACATTAAGTAAAAGAAAACAGAGCCAGTCAATCAGTTTTTATAGGATGTGATTTGCAACAAGTTTTCTGCAAACTGACTTTGCCAAATAATTCTTCTGAACATTTTTGCTGTTGCTGGAATTATGTAATAGCTCCTGTCTTAAGCAAGAGAAATGGCCAGGTTATAAATTTGACAACGCATATGTGGTGAGTGTGCAGGCAAATATGGGAACACTTTTTACTTCCTCACAAAAGGTGAGAACCTTCTGCAAGCTGGTGCTAGAAAGTGGCTGGCAAGAGCCTTGGGTTTTTGGAAAATGAATGTGTGTGAATTTCAGGATGTGCATGTGCATTTTCTCCAGATAAACCCTTTCACGAGACAGGGAACATCATGTCCACCTAGTTCTAAAGTTGCCTTTTGAATAGAGTATGCTGTAAATACACTCTATTACTTAGTATCACTTAACCAAGCTACAAAGACCAGAAAGAAGTCTGGCTTTTGGATATCAAGATATGTGATTATTTTAGCTTGCTAAGGACTCTAACCTGAATGAATTACCCAACGATCCTTCTGGAACTGTTGAAAGTTCAGCAGTCCCATTTGTCTATTCATTTATGTCTCCCTAACACTGCTAACTGAACCTATGTCAGCAAAATATTCAATGGAGACTATATATCATTGTAACTTTATGTCTATGGTCTACATAAAAGTGCCATTTTAGTGAATGTAGCTATATTTACTAGATTGCTATTTTTTGTTAAAGTATAAACAACTCCCAGGTGTGACTTAACTAATTCATCTTTGTGCCCACACAATAGAATTTTGAGGAAGGGAATATGGTGGAGTCAACACTCAATCATTAAAATTTAATAAGTATTCAGTATTTCCTATATGCCAAGCACTGATCTAAGAGAATCCCACACCTCAATTCTCCAGTAGGCACCATTGTCATCTTCATTTTAGAGATGAAAAAGCTGTTGATTAGGGAAGTTGGAGTAATATGCCTCTGGCTACAAAGCTAAGGTACACTAACCACTTGGCATGCCCACTAGTACAATGAATTTCAATGAAGAAATTAATCAAAGTAGAGGATCAGGGTTTCTCAGAAAAGAACTTTGAAGAATATTGGTCATGCATCTGGTTCTCCCTCTGTTTCTCTCTCCCAGTTTCATTGACTATAAATTCTTGGTAAAAATGAAAGATATATCAGTAATATATTTTCTCTATATATATTTATATGTTTCAATATATAATATGAGGTGTATGTGTATATGCATACATGCATATGCATGTATGTAATAGATCATGTGGAACATATTTGCTAAATCTCTGGGAGTGCAGAGGTCTCTTTGCAAGGGCAGGATGCTGGTGGAGACCTTCTGCCTTTCCTTCATGTGAATAAAAACGAGAAATTGGTTTGATGTACACGAAATAATGTCATAGTGCTATAGAACTGTTTCCTGACTCCCATGGGACCTGGTAGAATGCCCAAGCCAGAAGCAGGAGCCACTGTTTACTCTGATAACAAACATTCAAGTTCTTCAGATTTGTTGTGCTCATTGCTTCTCTAACCCCTGACAACTTCAAGTTGTTCAGATTTTCTGTCCTCGATGGCTCTCCATTCACTGACACTTCCCAAAGAGATTTGCAAGAAAGATCAGAATTGTCATCATTTCATATTATTCCTCTACACCCCATTTTTCCATATTTAGAAGTTCACTTTCCTACATAGGCTGACCTCTTAAATTATTACAATGTAATTTTAAATGAAATATTCCTTGTGACATCTGGTAATTCCATAGAAGTCAAGTTCAGATTTATCTTCTGGAACTATTTCGAAGGAAAGGCCTCTTCTAGGCATTTCTACCCTACTATAAGGGAAAAAATGAATAAGCAAAAGAGTAAGTAATTGTACAGAATGTTATGCTTGCAATGGTACTTCAATATCTTTCCTGCCAAAACAGATTAATTTATAAATATAGCTATTTCAGAATAAATGACATTCTTAAGCTGAAGAAAATCTCATCTGCAGTTTCATCGTTCTCAACATAAAAATTGTTTTCTCTAGGCAATAGGATATTTATGTGTCGGTGTGAAAGAGGTGCCTTTAAAAGAATTCCTTCCATCCTTGCAGGCTAACATTAACACTGTCCTGTCCGATGGATCTCAAGAATTTCCCAATGGATGTACAAACGTGCATAATGCAACTAGAAAGCTGTAAGTATGAGCAACTGATGTTTTCCCGGGCACTTTTTAAATGGAGGACATGTAAGCTTTAGTGGATAGACAGATAATTTATTTTGTAATTCACAGGGCACATGTTTATTGAAAAAACAAAAGTAAAATGGGCACATCATTGGAAACAAACTGTCATCCATATTTGCTGAAAGCCTTAAGAGGTCCAGACACTTTCCACATGTCATTGCATAGTTACAACAAAAACATACTTCTTCCCAGGTTTTTGGTTGTTAGAATGATCCCTTACAGTGTGTAGGGAATGTGCACACAGTCAGAGGTGGTGGAACCTAGCTGCCTAGATCCACACCTTATAGTTTCCATTAATCAGCGCTTGGTATTTTAGCTGAATACGCTGTGTGTGCCCCATCAGGAGAAAGGGATTTTTAATGTATCAGATACTCGCCAGAGTTTTCAGAGTTCCTCCAAAAGTCTTCCTGGGAAATGGATCCATTAACACCATTGATCCATGCTAATACAAAACAGTGTGCCGCCAGGTGCATGTTTCATGAAACATTTTCATAATAATATAAGTGATATGATAGTACATGAATAATAAATATATATGTAGTAATAAGTATATGAATAGTAAAATGGTTTACAGTATTTAATCAAAGGGGAACTAGGAGTAAATATACAACTTACTTATATAACTATGTAATATATATTAAAGAAAGCTCTAATTTGAAATCTTTCCTGAAGAAAACTGGAAAATTTATCCACAGGTTCAGTCTTGACAGGCAAGTTTTGTAGTGACGTAGAGGTGTCACTAGATGGCGTACAAAACTCATGGGGGAAAATGACCTCACTCAGCACTGTTTTTCTTCAAGACATATAAGCATCTATTTCTCTGTTAATTACTCTTTTCTTTGAATTTTTAGTGTTTATTCTGAAAGTGTCTCTCAAATATTCAACACAGATAAAATGTCAAAGTAACTGAAAGGAAAACAAACGATCTAAAATTGGGATATTTAGATATTTTGCATATTGGTAATGCAAGTGGAGGGATGAGTAATGAAAGTTTCCTAATAGTAAATTCTTTGGACTTTGTGCAATAAAGAAAATCAGCAAGAGAACAGCTGACTATGTATCTTGGTCAATGCAACGTTAGGACACAGAGAAAAGTTCTCTCCTTCTCTCTGTCTCTGTCTCTCTGTCTCTCTGTCTCTGTCTCTCTGTCTCTGTCTCTGTCTCTGTCTCTCTCTCTCTCTCTCTCTCACACACACACACACAGAGAAGCACACACAAAGTGGCAAAACAGGCCACAGGACAAAGCAGTTCATTGGCGCCATGTTTACTGAAAGCTATTCAGAGGTCAGAGAGGAACTGTTCAAACATTAAGGAACAAAGAAATTATTTGGTAATTACATTTTTACTTATTTATTTAATGCATGTGTGTGCATGCCTGTGCCTGCGTGAACACATGTGTGCAGGTACACCTATACATGTGAACGTGTTCATGTGGAGGCCAGAGATGTAAGGTGCCTTCTTCAATTGCTTCTCTACTTCATTGGTTACTTATTTGTGGATAGGAGCTCACTGACTTGATGGCTGAGAATCCTAAGAAACTCTAGGGATCCTCATGTCTCTACCTCCAAACACTGTGCTTGAAGGTACACTCAGATTTTTATGAGTGTTTGAGGATTAAAATCAGCTCCTCATATTTGCATAGCAAGCACTTTAACAATGGAGCCCTGTATTAATGGCAAAGGCTTTACAACAAAGATTATTTTATCAATGATCCAAGTTTATGAAATAATTTTTCTTAACAGTCTAAGAATAGGAATAGAAAATAGGGACAGAGCAGGATGCTGGTTTTGAAATGTAATTTTAGGTGTTAGGAAGGCTGAGGCCTGAGGATCATGAGTTCAAGGTCATCCTGGGATGTATTTATTCTTTTAAATTTTATTTTACATCCCAACCTCAGTTCTTCCCCCCATCTCTCCTCCAGCCCCCTCCTCGACCCCAACACATCACTAGTCCTCTCCTCCTCACTAGTAAGGGCTCTCATGAGGAAGCAACAAAGTCTGACGCAATAAGTTGGGGCAAAGCCAAGCCCCTCTCCCATGCATTAAGGCTCAGTATGGCATTCCACCAAGGGAATGAACTCCAACAAGCTAGCTCATGTATTAGGTTTGTATTGTGGTCCTACTTCCAGAACCCCTCTGAAAGTCCAACCTTCACAACTGCCTCCCACATAGAGAGGACCTAGTTCAGTCCCCTGGAGTCTCTACCAATGTTGGCCTAGAGTTCATGAGGTTCCACAAGCTTGGTTTAGCTGTCTCTGTAGATTTCTCCATCGTGATCTTGACCCCTTTTGCTCATATGTTTCCTGCCCCCTCTCTCTGACTAGATTCCTGGAGCTATGCATGGTGCTTGGCTGTGGATTTCTGCATCTGGTTCCATCAATTACTGGATGAAGTTTCTATAATGATAGTTAGGATATTCACCAGTCTGACTATAGGAGAAAGCCAGTTTGGCACCATCTCCACTATTGCTTGGAGTCTTAGCTAGGGTCATCCTTGTGGATTCCTGGGAATTATCCAAGCACCAGATTTTTCCCTAACCCCATAGTGTCTCTCTCTATAAAGATATCTCTTTCATTGTTAGTGAGCCATTTTTACAAATGAAAGCACAAGAGAGGGAGGGCTTATGACACCACTCAGTGGTAGACAGAGCACTTGCTTAGCATGTTCCAGGAAGTCCTCAATAAAAATTCCACTAATTTCCCCCACAAATAAAACAAGAAAAGTAAAAAGGGGAACGAACGAATGTGGACGGAACAATGGTCCATATAGATGATTGGTATAAAGTGGATTTAAAGGTTCTGTGTACCTGTGAGTGAGAGCTAAAAATATCATACAAGTAGGATCATATAAGACACATTAATAAATAATTGGAATATATGAAAAGGAAATATTTATAGGACTTGCAATAAATGCAATATTAGCATGTTTGTGGTTTGGATTATTTAGTTCCACAGTCAAATGGAGTTAAAACTGAAGATAAATTATTAAAAAAATGTGAATTTTGGCTCAAGAAGTCAGATGAATTTATTGAAAGAAAGCAAAACAACTACAACTACAAGGACTACACCCTTAAGTAATCCTTTCATTTATAAGTTATTGGGAAGAAATTCTAGAAAAATGTAGTCATAGATTACAAATAACCAATAATTCTTTGAAAAGTGGGTTTACCCACGCCTTCGTGAGTGACTGTCTACCCAGACACATGTGGGCAGCAGTAATTGGATTCAGTGGGTTAACAGTAATATTTTTAAATATTGAAGTGGAAAAAGAATGTGTTTAGCATCTTAGGGGAAACTGGAGAGGCAGAAGGGGTGAATTAATATACATTAGATGCATATATGGAATACTCAAGCAGTAAATAAAATATTATTAAAATAAATAAGGAAAGCTAATCAGGACTACTTTGTGGGATCCAGGAGAGGGACACTCAGGGTCGTTCATGTATCTGGCTTCCTCAGAACATTTCTGGAGAAATCGGAAGTTGAACACAGGAAAACAGAGCCTCTTGCTACTTCCCTCCTGCTCCTTCATTTCTTTATCAGGAACGAATGCTCTGCCTCAAGTGGTCCTTTAGCATCAGTATTAATTATTTCCTTCCTTCTGGATGGAAACTTTCCTCATCCACAGTGGAAGCACCATTCCTTAAGCATGCTCCATTAAGAGATGCTCAGAAATCTTCTGTAGAGAGGGTGACTGTGGATATGGAGCTGACAGAGAAGAGATAGCCATAAATCCTATTTTGAGAAAACTAGAAATTATCCCACATGTCTCAAAGTATATATTTATGACTTGAGACTAAAACTGTAGGTCATGCACAGCAAAGGTCCACACAGTAGTAGTTTTTGAACTTTCAGTTTCCATCTACTGCATGTTCTCTTTTAAAAGGATTTTTTCAGACATGAATCTGCCCTTTCAAAAGACATTCTTCTTCATAGTAGTTTTACTTAAAAATACATTTCTATTTACAAATACATTTGTAAATTATTTGCATTGGTATGGAATTAATGACCAGCAAACACAGATCTACTATCATGATTTAAGTTCTATCCCTAAAGAATTTACAGAAATAGGGCTAAGAAAAGGCCCTGTATTTGATTTCTAGCTTTTTATTCACATTATAAAAACATTTGTAAATTTGTCACTCCTGTTAGAAGTGTCAGCTGTTTGCCAAAGGTGACAGGGTTTTTAAGTATCATTGCACAGTAAAATTTTAATTCCATGCTTCGTATGTAAAGAATAACGAAAATGACATAAGGAAAACAAATCAATGATGTGTAATATTGAAATAAATTTCAGTTGGTGACAGAAAAGTACAAATAATGTTATGTGGTTTCACCAGGTTATATTTAGAAACACACACACATACACATACACACGACAGCAATTAATGAAAAAAAATAGGCCAGGAATTTGAGGGGTGTATAGGAGGGCTCGAAAGGAAGAAAGAGAAGGGAGAAATATTGTCATTAAATTACAACCTCAACAATAAAGAACAGCATAAATGTAGAAGCAAAGAAATATACTTTTTCTCAAGCAGTGACCTAAATCATTAAAAAAATATTTTTGAAAAGGTGGGAGGGCCTTGAGGAGCAATTTAAAGAGAGTGCTAAAGACTAGAAAATCTTTGAAATGTACTTTAATAGGATTTGGGGATAGAAATGTCTAAAAATAGACCTTGTGCAGGTTTGGGGTAGAGCATCTAAGTGTGGAAGGATTTTATTATTGACATTTGCAGATTGAATTTTTTAGCTAGGTCTGATAAACAGATTGCTTATTCTGGATCTTATGTTAACCTTAGTTATAAAAATGACAGAGCTTGTGATTTTTTGTTTTGTTTTGCTTTGCTTTTTTACAATTACGTCCTAATAATTTCTACTGTTCTCCCAATTCTCTTATAATTTAAGAGTTTGGATTAGGTTCAGGGTAACATTGTGCTTTTTGTTTGCTTACTCA